ATACGAGATAAAGCCGACGATCGACAAGAAAGATTGGGCCTAAAAAAGATATAAGCTTTATATTTATATGCATCTCATCTTATGATGTATAATATAATTATATATTCGCTATACTTTTACGTATGTAGCTTGATGGTTAAAATGTTTACATTCTGGCGATACAACCCATGTTTGAATCTGCAAATTGTCGATTTGTAAAAAAGGTGACTTCATGATAATGTTATTCAAAATTTCAGTTTTTTTCTATATTTTCAATTTCTTTAAATTCTTCTCCGATTAGATTTTCGCAATATCCAATGCCGTGCTCCCATCACTCAATAAGTTTACAATACCTTGCTTCTTTTTTTAATCTATCTTTCTTAAAGCCCATGGCTATCTTCCTTGTCGTTCGTCGGCTTTATCTCGTATCCAACAATTTAATTCCTTCCTTTCTGATTGTTTCCTTTGGAAGAAAACCAGAATTGAAGAAAATGCTGATGGTGTGAATTTATTTAAGATGGACTTGCCAGGAAGTGACCCCCAAACTTGATTTCATGACCTTCAGCTGTGGCACATATGGAAAGAGACATGCAGAATCCAGTTATGAGACATCAACAAACTGTCGCTGGCCCGGTTTTAGTTTTGAGTGGCGCCTTCAGTAGCATGTCCTTCATACATATCTCTGTTTATTCGCACGTTCAACCAATGAGATCTGTTGTAATCATCCAATCTTTCGTATCGGAAATTAAAAAAAAAAGAAAAGAAATATCAATAACTACTCTTATAATTTTCATTATTTCCATGCAGTCTATTGTCCCCATCTTTGTTGAAGAGGACAATAGCCTGGTGAATGAAAACGTTGCTTGGCGATTTTTGTGACATAGTAATTGTGAGTTCCAATCCATGGGTCGTGCAGTATGTACTTATTTGATTTGTTTGTTTAACGGCATATCAACTCCTTATGGGTCATTTAATACCAAAATTTGATAGCTTTGAAGTAATAAAAATATGATATATGATATTCTGCTTTCACAGTTGAATACATGATAGATGATACTCAGCTTTTGTGCTTATACATGTTTGCGTGGACATAATTCCTAGAAGTGGTGTGTGTTTCATATTATAGTTTTGTTGAAGTTATATTTTGAAATACAGTTTCTTATAGGATATTATATGGGCTAATGTCATGAAAGTGTTGATTGGTTTTGTTTAGCGCCATATCAACACCTATATGGGTTATTTAATGCCGAAATCTAAATATTTTGTACCTAATTTTATTGCTTCAACTAAATATATTTTGAATGCAATTGTATGCCTTCAGTTACGGATAAAATATGTTGTTGGTTATTTTGCTATAAAATGTATTATTAGTAATTCTACTGTAAGGTTTTATTGCTAGTCATTTTATTATAAATATGTATTCTTGGTATTTTATATATATATATATATATGTGTGTGTGTGTGTGTGTGTGTGTGTGTGTGTGTGTGTGTGTGTGTATTTCTATACTTTCATGGTGTTTTATTTTTCTTTGGGAGTTCATTATTTGCCCATAGCTGGGATCCTAACAGGTGCTACCACCCCGGGTCAGGCTGAACCTGGAAACAACAGCAATTAATAGATGATCCCACGCACCTCAAAACCGATCAGAGGCCTTGCTGCCGGATATAGTTTATCTTCATACCCAGGACTGGTGTGTACTTGGTCTCAATGGAAACGGGCGAATAATAACTGAGCAGTACTAAAATTAAGAACTATACAGAAAAAATAGGCTCCATGAATCTAAGTTAGATTTTACTAAACTCAGGAGCTTATTGGTTAAAAAATATATTTCCAAATTTTATTTTTATCTATTATTAGGAGTGAAAATATTGTTGATCATTTTCTGGAGTGATCCTACAAATTTCATAGCAGACGACAAACTTGGTCGTTTGGTTTTTCAAAGCGTTTCCAATAAGGTTAATATATGCGAACGTGGAAACTCAAATAGGAGCCTACATTTTGCACAAAAATGAGTCAATTTTGAGCTTTAGTAATATTACTTAAATTTATTCAATTTTTTTACAATTTTTAATGGGGTTCCACATGTATAATAAAATCATCCATTTTGTACTATGAGTGGGTGTAAAGAAACAAAAAAATATGATGAAAGAAAGACTAGTGAAATATGTATAATAATGGCGACTCTTATAACTAAAATTGCATTTATTAGACAAGCGATCTTGTCTATAAAAATATTTTCCTTTTTAACACCGTAATCATGTTGTAATGCGCAAGCTATTCTTTTCGATTTTAGTTGTTAAGTGTGATTCCAGAAAAGAAGCCACACAATTTGTTAGCCGACGTTTTTTAAGATTCGAACGTCAAATTTTACAAAGCATTCCAATCATAAACAGAGTCAACATTAACAAAAGATATTAATATGGCAGAAGACCAAACAGAAGAAACAAACAGTAAGGCGGTAGTGTGGAGATGGCTGTTTCGCCTAGAAAATCAGCATTCAAAATCCTGATTTTTATTTAACTGGGTTCGAACCGTTAGGAAAACTTTCCCTTTCTCAATTACAAGGTAGCTCAGATATTGATTTCCGGAAGACACTCTTAATCAATACGAATCATCGATCAGGAGTGGATAGGTTCACTTATCGTCCGGTTCACACCCCTCCTCGGTTTTTGGTCAGGAGTAGAGGTTTATTCCTTGTTTCCTGTTTAGGATTGGGTTTCCGGTTCCTTCTAAAGATTTTTTTTTCATTCTCTTTCCTTCCCCTGGTGTCTTAGTGACATTATCTCCTTATTTGGAGTGAATTGATAAAAAAATTAAAAAAAGACATTTGTATTCTTGATGAGATTGAAAGGAACCCAAGTTAAATGTTGAATTTGAGGGCCATTTAGTTTAAACACGAGTGCCCAAACAAAATTCGGTATAAAATTTGAACCATTTCTAAATAATTCAACGAATACATTTACAAACCTACCATTCGTCTATGCTTTGAATATTGCTGCCACATCTCATCTGGTATATTTGATATGTATTTAGAGATTCATTATAAAAAGACAAAGAAGAATCTGCAATGTTATCGGTCCTGACAAGGCATCTCTGTTTCAGATACTCACTCCACCCTCCGCCATAACGTAGCTTCCTTGTAACTTGTCTATAAATGATGTCATGGTAATTGTTCAGATGAACTTTTCTCTTTGGTTCCGAGACTTCATGAATTTAAGCGCAGTACTGGATTAGCGTCAAAGCCTCACCATTTTACGGATGAAATGACTAGATGCAACCGTAAATTCTATACTAACAGTTTCTTCACTCACACTTCTCGTTTGTGCAATTCTCTTCCGGCTTCTAGCTTTCTAATCAACTTTGATCCTCAAAAATTTAAATGCAATGCCAATCGATATCTTCTGTCTTCTTAATTCCTGTTCTTTTATTGTTCTCTCTCTTTAATAATGTTTTTCTTTTATTCGCTTCTTGCACACTCATCAACCGCATAGTGTCTTTATAGTCTTGCTTGAGGTGAAGTGATAAAAATACATGGATTAACAGTAATGATCATATATATATATATATATATATATATATATATATATAAATGTAAATATTCTCGGATGGAATGTACCTGTAGAAGAGACAAAATGAATGAAAAGAGACAAGAGGAAAAAACTATACTTAGTCGACGCGTTTCGTCTTCTGTGGGACCTTATCAAGGCAATTTAAAGATAATGTTCATCAGAAGACGAGACGCGTTGGCTAAGCATAGTTTTTCGTCTTCACTGTTTCTGTCTCCCTCTTTCTCTCTCTCTCTCTCTCTCTCTATATATATATATATATATATATATATATATATATATATATTTCAAATAAAAAAATGATATACAAAAACAGTAAAGTAAGTTCTTGCAATTTAAAGTTGGTTGATAAATAAAAATTATTGAATGAAACGAATGTTATTTTCAGTTTAAAATAAAATGTTTGAGTATTTATGCTTGAAAAAGGCAGGTGATTTACATACGCATAAAGGTAGACGTCTGTTGAGCTTTCAGCTGTGTCCTTGAGTAGAACCTTGTCGGTAAATGTGCAGCCGATTAAAGACACTCCCTTCAAAGTCGCTGTTAGTAAAAAAAATTCCTTCTGAAGCGAGAAATAAATCTTCTGACATTTAAGTTGCTGAGTTTGCTTAGATTTCATTAATGTGGCTCCGAGCTTAGAACTTAAAAAAAGAATCACAATAGAAAGATTCGATTAGGTAACCCAGTTCGCTTCGCCAGGGCCGGTGCAAGGATCACATGTCCCCACCCCTGAATCTACGATACGATCCCCTCCAATCTATAATACGGACCCCACTCTACTGCATTTCAATTTTCATAAGGTGGTATTCATATAAAATATAAATACAATACCGCGCAACTTGATACAAGATGGTCAATTATTTCTGGACATTTATCACAGAATATTAATTGTGGACTAACAATTTTTTCATCATGTGTGCTTGGTAATTTCTAGTTAGCAAGCATTGGTTGCAACAAAAATAAAACCTTCAGATTCAGCTTTTAACACTGTTTCAGCTTTCAGCACAGTGTAGCTACTGATGGTTACGTGTTTTGTCTACATCAGCTCGTTTGGTACGAGCAGATTATTGACCGTGAAGCAGTTAATCTTGTCATCGTTTCTTTATCTGGTCGATTGTATTTGCTATTTTTTTAAAGTATTTTGCAGCTTCAGTCGATGTATTACACTTTACTTGCATTTCTTCACCCATTCAAAACTCCATTTTGAACTTGTTGGCTTCTTCATTTTTTTTTAGCCTATTTTCGCCTTTTTCTTTTTCGCTTTCTTCGTTTTCTTGTTCACCTTGCATATTGTAACTTCTCGTTCGTCTACGTCGTTTTTTTATCAAAATCATCGTCCCCCACCTCTCTGTCTCTGTCTCTCTTTCTTTTTTTCTCTCTCTCCCCCCCTCTCTCTCTGTGTTTTTATCTTTCTCTCTTCAACTTGGTAATTCTTTTTCTTTTTTTCTTTTTTCATGCTACTTTTTCCTTTATTCTTTTTTTCCTTGTTTGCTTTTTATGCATCTTGTGCATTTTTCTTCTTTAATTTCTTATTTTTCTTCTTCCTGTCTTTTTTCTTACCTTTTTTTCTTGAACATTATTTTCTTTTATTTATTTTTTTTCCTTTTTCCTTTTTCTTTTTATTTATGTTTTTAATTTCTTCCTTTTCTTTTTATTCTTTTTCTTTTCTTTTCTTTTCGTTATTCATTTTTTTCTTCTTTTTTCTGCTTCTTGATCATTCTTTTTATTTATTATTTTTCATTTTTTCTCTTTTTTATGCATTTTATTTTTCCTTAATCAATTTCTTTTTCGTTCTTTTTTTCTTTTTTATTTCCCCCTTCCTCTTCTTCTCCTCCTTTTTCTTCTCCTCCTTTTTCTTCTCTTCTTCTTCTTCTTCTTCTCAACTATTTGAAATTTATCTTTTTCCTTCCCCCCTCACTTCTTCCATTCTTTCTTTCACGTCTTTTTTTTCTAATCTCTATTTCTTCCCCTATCTCTTTTTCCTCTTAATTTTCATTCCTCACACGTTTCTTCTCTTTAATTTTTCTCTACTTGTTCCTTTCTTCTCCATTTTTTCTTTTCAATTTTATTCTTCCATCTTTTGTTTTCCCGTTATCTTCATTTTTAGCTACTTTCTTCTTTCCTTCGATTTTTTTTTTCTTTCTTTCTTACCGGCTTATATTTTGTCACTTCAGTCGCAGTATTTGACTTGATTTCGATGCTAGTCATTTTCTTGTCTTCTTCACGCTTTTCTCCTCTTCCGAAACTTGAGATTCTTGTCACACAACTTTCGTTAGTAAAACGAATTGTCATTTTTCTTCGCACGCTGCCATTGCACTTGGCACCAAATTACTGTGACTCCATTCTTCTTTAAATACAAAAACTGTAATGCAAGACAAATGTTCTGAACAAGTGTCGAGTATATATCTAGCATCTTTCTGTACTGCTCACACGACATCGCTCCAGATGTCACTCTCTTTCTCGCTTTTTTTTCTACTTCTCATATTCGCCTTTTTTTTCTTTTTTTCATTCATTCTCTCTCTTTCATTCTTTCTCTCTCTTTCATTCTTTCTCTCTCTTTCATTCTTTCTCTCTCTTTCATTCTAAACTAACTACTTCGGAGACCCATAACTTCTTTTCGGAGAAGATGATCAAATTTCAAACATAAATTGTTTGACGACTTAAAATACTATGTTTATTTGAAAATATATTCATTTTGTAATAGTTGTAATAATAATTAATAATAAGTAATATAGGTAATATATATGACTATATTATGTATTATATATAATATATATAATATATATATTATTATTATATAGATATTATGTAATATATATATATATATATATATATAGAGAGAGAGAGAGAGGGAGGGAGAGAGAGAGAGGAGGCACGGTGGAGTAATGGATAGAGACTTGATTGATGAATCGGAGAGCCGAGTTCGAATTCCAGTCGAATCCATTACATTCACTTATGTGCTAATACCCTTTCCCAAGGGTATTAGCACATAAGTGAATGTAATGAATCCTCTTCTTCTCCCTCCAGCTATGGGTAAATAGCAGTACAGAAGCACAACTCTGAATTCAAAACCTGCGAAGGGTCGTTTGGGGACCCTGTGGCACGTAGTGCACCAAGTCTCTGTATTCGGACCTTCGAAAAGTGTGGGTGGTTCTTCACAAAACCTTCACTACTATAATCTCATATGCTGGAGTCGGGCTTTCAGTTTCCTAGGAACTGATCTGCTTGACCCTCATACGTCGAATTCGACAGGAGAGTAGAGTATGTATATATATATATATATATATATATATATATATATATATATATATATATAAGATAGATAGATAGATATTCTATTTTCTAATAATTGTTCGGATAAGCTCTTTGCTATGTTACCCATTTTTTTTAATTTAATCGCAGTACTAGGCCGGAGTCGAGATCTCATCAATTTAAAACTGAGCTGGCTAGATATAACCGTCAATTGTAGGCTGACAGTTTCTTTTCTTGCATGTGGAACTTCCAGTCAACTTTAATCTTCAAAAATTTAAATACAATGTCAGTCGCTATCTATTGTTCTCTTGATTACTCTTCTTTCATTCTTGCTCTTTATGAATATTTCTGTTTCTAATTGTTCCACATTCTGCGCCTTAGTGGCTTTACTGCCTTGCATGAGATGAAATCAATTAAAAAGCAGAAACAAAGGTAATACACTTACATACAACCCCACTACATGCAAGTCGTCCCATAAACTGTTTAGTTACCTGGTTACTACTCTTATTCGAACGCCTCCTGCATTAGGGATTTTCTCTTACCCACCTCCAAACATGTTAATCTTAAGACCACTAAGCGATGTTATTTACTAATAGTTTACCTTCGCACAACGTCAAACTTATAGGGCATCCAGGGGATAGCAAACGTGTTAATTGGTAGTAAGGGCCAATCGGACTAGCTTGTTATCCATAACTATACGCCTAGACACCTAGTCAGATCTAGGGAAGAAGCAGATATATGTCTTTCTCAAGGGCAGGACACAAAGTGAATACCACTTTTTACGGCCGGAAATGATTTTATCTTTGCTCTGTCGCCGGGGCTTAGAATGCATCGACTGTATTCGGTGCCACCTTCGGGTGGCTACTTGCAGACTCAATGAACTGAGGTTTTGTATATTTTTTGGACTCTAATGTAAACTGGATCTATGTCTACGCTTTCAACTTTAGTGCAAACAGGACTCATGTCTACCTTCCTGACTCCTTGGCAAAACTGACTTCTATCTAGCTTTTTCGACTCTAGTGTAAGTCTGATTTGTGTCTAACTTTTTGATTCCAGTGCAAATAGAACTTGGGTCCCTCTTTTTGACTCCAGTGCAAACTTGTACAGACTGGACAGGTGTTTACATTTTTGATTCGAGTGCAAATCAGACTAATGTATATTTTATGACTGTTTTAAACCAGATCTAAATCAACATATTAAATCGTGTAAATCTGACCATGTTTGCCTTTTTGACTCTAGTGTATCGTGTTTAGTACAAACTGAACATCTTTTTACCCATTCTGATTCGCGTGTAAATCGGCCTGTCTACCTTTTTGAATCATATAAACCGTGAAGTATACTGCTTCTGGGCTCAAATGAGGCGACAAACACATAAATATAAAAAAAATATATAAATATCTTGTTCGAGTTGCGGCGAATGGGTAGAGTGAGAATCGGACAAGGTTATATAACATTTAGACACCTACGCTACTTCCCGTGGCTACGCCTTCTTCCGGTATGTCGCCTACGCAACTTCGTGTGACCACGCCTCTTCCGGCATGCGTCCACGCAAGCACGCATTTCCTTCCGTTCAGGGCACCTGTGCGCCCTGTTTATTCAAGGCTCAGAGCACCTGTACGTCCTGTTTATTTTAGCCACCAGATGCATTTCCTGTTTATGCTATCACCAGTTCCGATTTCCGCTCACACACTGATGCATCGAAAGTAAGGCCAAAGGTATTTCCTTAACCGATATCCAACAATCGGACATATGTCTATTTTTTTATTCTAGCAAAAACCATATAAACCGTGTAAACCGGTTCTATGTCTATCTATTTTACTCTTGGGTAAATCTGATCGATAATTAAATTTCTTACTCAAGTGTACATCGGGCTTTATTAAGCTAGTGTAGACCGGGGTTATGTCCATCTTTTTTACTATAAAGTAAATTGAACCTCTGTCTCTATTTTTTTTTTTTTTGCTCTAGTGTAAACTGGACCTATGTCCATATTTTTTACTTTAATGTAAATCCGATCCATGTTTACCTTTTTGAAACTAGTGCAAACAAGATTTGTATTTTGTCTAGCAAAAACTGAACAAATGTTTACCCTTTTTGATTCGAGTGTAAATCTACGTTTTTGAGTCGGGTAAACCGAAACTATGTCTATTATTTTTACTCTATTATAAACCGTAGTTTTTATCTTTTAAGAATTATGTTCGATATCAGATAACCTAACAATGATCAATATAGCGTTAAATTAAGCAACCTCCCCGAACAATTTTATGTGTCCGTTAGGACACTTGCACCTAACGGATCAGTGAGTTGGGTACCTTTTTTTTTTCTTTTCCCATTTCTTTTTTATGCTCTTTAAATTAGCGCTAATTGAAACTTGGGTATCTTTTAATTCGAAAACCTCTAATTGAAATCCTCCTACGTCGCTCATAAATACGGTTGGATTATTTTTAGACGTTGTGATTTATACTTAAGCGCAAAGTGCATGAGACCAAAACGAAATCGCTTTAAAATCTGTATTTGCAAAAGAGTATGTAGTTTGACCTTTCTTCTTCCACTTCAGATACTTACACTGTAATAATTCTTTCTTTTTCTCTTCAGGTGAAAATTAAAAGATAGGTCGAGGCCTTGTTGTAAATATAGTGGTTAAACTAGCCACAGAGTATGGACTCAGAATTTCTTATCGTAGATTGCGGGCTAAAAAACAGAGATTAGATAGTTACAATTTTTTATCTTAATGTTCAGAGACAAGACCTTCGACTCTTTATTCTTCTTTTGCATCGCCCAGACCCCGTGACAAACATAGAACTTCTAACAATGTTATGGCATTTTACAATACATACAGACAGAACAATCAAAACTAATCGCTCAGATATCGTAATCAGAGAGCATAAGAAAATGTACCTTATTATTGACATGGAAGTCCCTGTTGGAGTTGGAGCCCTCGGTTTGATTGGAAAAGGTTCCGTTAGATTCATTGAAGGGATTCCTGGTAGCCCAAACCTTAAAGAAATGCAAAAAATGTACTCACAAGTGCAGCTGACACCTTACGAAAGGTTTTATCTATGTGAAATATGTGTGATTTTAAGTCTCTTGTTTTGTTTTTTCTTCCTAAAACTGCTCAGTGGAAAAAGTGATGATGCCATTTCTGACCTTAGGTCTCCGGTTGGGACCCGGAAAGAAACAACAGAACTCAAAGGAAATAATAATAATAATAATAATAATAATAATAATAATAATAATAATAATAATAATAATGTGTCCTATGGGAACATGAACAATCCCTGTTGTAGTTGGAGCCCTAGGACTGGTTAGAAAAGATTGCAGTAGACTAATTGAAGGGATTCCTGGAAGTCCATGCCTCAAGGAGATACAAAAAATTGTTCTGACAAGTACAGCCCACACCTTACGAAGGGCTTTATCTATGTAATTTAATTCTTTTTTTTTTTTTTTTTGTCAGTGGAAAGTGTCATGACGCCATTTCTAACCTTAGGTCCCTGGGCGGGACCCGGAAAGAAATGTGTAAACGCCAGAAATCAAAGAAAATAAAAATAATAATAATGGCCGCTTGGATATGTTCGGACTTAATTATAATATTATTATATCTAGGGCAGCTAGCCAATCTTAATTGCAGGGGATTGCTTAGGCACATATGTGTTTGTTTGTTCAACACCCAGTCGTGGTTTATACGGCAACTGTGCTTAGCGGAGGTTGATTACAGGCCGGTAACATCAAGAAGCCACCCTGATAATTCGACCATGGTGAGATTTGAACCGAATTTCCTGGTTGGAAAGCGAATGTTGTAACAATCCACTAAGTGCATATATATATATATATATATATATATATATATATATATATATATATATATATATATATATATATATATATATATATATATATATATATATATAATGATATGTTTGGTAATCCCGTATGGATAATTTCA